TGCAGCATGACCATCTCCTGTGGGAGGTGCTGTCTCACTTTCCCTCTCTCTTTCTCTCCATCTCTCTCTGGGGTATGAAAGCACTTTATAGCAAATGGAAAAAAAAAAGTTTCTGAGGAATAACTGGCCCAGAAATTGTTTCAGTTTAGGGCATACAATGTGATGATCTCATATATGTATACACTGTAAAATGATTACCTTAATCCACCTCATTAGCATATCCATCACTTCATATGTAATTACTTTTTTTTTTTTTTGATGATGGGGTGTGAGTGCTCACCAGAGAGAGAAAAAAAGACTGAGAGTGGGAAAGCAAGAGATCATGACCCAGAAGGAATAGCCATATTGCAATCCCTTCTCCTCCAGGGTCCTCTTGGGATTTTGGGCATGTACACACATGTGCTGAGAGTGATTTTCAGTCTACTGGTTTTAAGACTTGAACTGCACAGTTGGCCATGTGGGGTCCAGTGCCTTAACCTCTGCTCCATTTGTTGGCCTCAAATTATCCCCCTCCCCCATTTTTTTGTTATTTGTGGCAATGAAAACATTTAAATCCTATTCTTTTAGCACATTTAAATTATACATTATTATTATATAGTCACCATGCTGTATATTAGTTCCCCAGAACTTAGACATCTTATAACGGAAAGTTTGTATCTTTTTTTTTTTTTTTGAGAGATTTTCACTGTAGGGTGCGTGCGCTCGCCAGACAGACAGAGAGAGACATAGAGACAGAAAGCGAGAAATCACCCCCCAGGGGGGATGGTCACGCCGCAATCCCTTCTCCTCCATTCTCCTCTCGGGATCTTGGGCACGCACGCACATGCGCCCGGTGTGAGTTTTAAGCCACCGGGTCCGGGACACGAACCGCGGTCGACTGGGAATCCAGCGACATAGCCATTACGCTAACTGCTGGTTCCCGAAAGTTTGTATCTTTTAACTCAAATATTTCCTATTCCCCTCACCCCTGGAAACCATTTTACTCTCTGCTTTTGAGAATTTGCTTTTTTTAGATTCCACATAAAAATGAGATCACTCAGTATTTGTCTTTCTGTGTCTGACTTATTTCACTTAGCATAATATCCTCAGATTTACCCATGTTGTCACAAATGGCAGGATTTACTTTTAATTTATTTGTATTAAAGAATTATTTTTTAAAAATTTGCTACAGGGCATGTGAGAGAAAGAGAGAGAGAGAGAGAGCGAGCAAATTGGGACTCAAACCACACTCCATGTGGGAGTCCAGCGCCTTAGCCATGCCACCTGTTGGCCCTTCATTTTTTGTTTTAATGAATGAATAATATCCCATTGCATATGTGTACCATATTTTCATATGTTGGCATATCTTTATCTGGAATAGCTTCCTCATTTTGTCTACTTGGAAAATACATAGTTGATTCATCCATTCATCCCCAAAATATTGAGTAGTTATTATGTAATCACGTTTTCATATACTATTATATCTTTGCCAGGAATATTTTCTTCCTTTTGTCTATTTGTAAAAGTCATATGTTGAAATGTGTTTGCTGTCATGATGGTATTAAGAGGGTGGAAACTTAATCTGACTATGATATTAAGATGTGGAATCTTTGGGAAATGACTAAGATTAAGTAAGGTTATCACAGTGAGGCTCACATGGCAGAATTAGTGGATTTATAAGAAGAGGGAGAGCCCAGCCATGGTGGTGGTACAGACAGTAGGGGTGCTGCTGCACAATGCCAGTGACCAACTAGGAAGGATCCAGGTTCACGTCGCAGGTCTGCCTCAACATGGAGGGTGTAGCTCATAGACATTCCCATGATCCTGGCTGCAGAACTTGGGGACAATTGCAGCACAAGGAGCTTGTCAAGAGTACCATCTCTTCTCTCTCTCTTTCTTGAAATAAATAAACTTAAAAAATAGAAAAGAGGAAAATACTGACATATGGCCTTGTCTTCTCACCATATGATGCCCCATGTCACCTTGGGATACTGCAGACAGCCCCCACCAGCAAGAAGGCCCTCACCAGAAATGGCTCCTCAAGCTTGTACCTCCAGAACCATGGGTTGAATAAACCTTTATTTATTTATTTTTAACTACATTACCTGGTCTGTGGTATTCTAACTACAGAAAAACAGACTGAAACATCCCACAAAATAGTGATGTTCATGAGGACAGCGGTCTTTGTCTATTTTGCCTGACATATAGTAGATGTTCAAGGATTATTGAAGTGATGAAGAGTTCTCATAATTGTGAGCCAGCAGCTTTAGGAGTAGTTACAGAATGCACAAAGGGCATTTTGAGTTGCTCTTGGTGTGGAAAACTGCACCTCTGGGAAGCTGGAGAGGCTGAGAGATCGCTGGGCATCCTTAGCCACTGACAATATCAATATGGGCCAGTCACTTGTCATCTTTGGGCTTCAGTTATCTTGCCTGTAGATAAGATGGTTGGATTCAAACTCATCCCTTTTCTAAATGGGGGTGATGCCATGGTTCTACGTATTTAGGAGTTCCTTTTTGGACGAAGAGAACACCTTTTTCAAAGAAATCTCTAATTTATGAAAGTCACACTTAAAAGTAGTTTTGGTTGGATAGAATTTTCTTTCTCTTTGGAACGAGTTTATACAAATGCATTTGTTTTTCTTTATTTCCTCTATTATATCGAAACCGTGGATATTTTGATAGTTGATATTTTCTTGCATATTAATAATAGAAAGGAAATGATTCACTAGTGGGACAGTTATTTGCTTTGTGATAACAGTAAATTTTAAAAATTGCATCTTAATCATAAAACTAGTCTGATTCACAGTGTTCATACCTAGAAATTGTAAAAGGATGGGAGGAATTTACTTGATAATCATGAGGTTCTACTTGAAGAACAGAAGAACATGAATATGGGGACATCACAAACTTGTATTTTGTATAACTTTAAAAGATTTTGTTAGAGAAGAGAAAAAGTGACTTGAGTAAACCACAGAGAAAACTTGAGGTTAATGAACAATTTAATAATTTCTTTAAAACAGAGGTTTGATTAGAAAAGGGGTAATTTTCTCAGTTCTATTTATTTTTTAAAGCAGAATTGCAGAAAATGGGATTGAGCTGTTAAGTTACTTAAAAACTGTTGGATCCACAATAGTTGCTGGATAGCATGTCTTTATTTTTTAATCCTTTCAGTCACTTGTCTTAGTTTGTTATTGTTTTGCTTACAGAAATACCTAAGAGTGAGTGATTTATAAAGAAGAGAGGTTTATTTGACTCACAGTTCTCGTGGCTGGCAAGTCTAAAGGTGTGTGAGGCTATCATCAGGTTGGCTATAACATGGCTGACCAAAGCAGAGAGGACATCTAGCACATGCAGAGAGTAACCTGGGGCAGGCATCTTTCTTTGATAACAACACACTCTCTTGAGAACCAACCCTTTCTCATGAGAGCTAGAACTCATTACGTTTCTCCTAAGTCAGTATTAATCCATTTATGAGGCTGGTGCCTCCATGATCCAATCACCATCACCCACTCGCCATCTACAAGCCTTCACTACCTCCTAACATCATTTCATTGGGTACCAAATGACCAAACTTGAGTCTTTGTGGGACGAACCATTATCCAAATTATAACTCATACTATTCTTTTTAAAAAATAATTATTTATTTTATCTATTATTGTTATTATTTTAAATTTTGCTAGAGGGCAGTGAGAGAGCAAGAGAGCGAGAGTGAGAGAGAGAGAGAGAGAAAGCTGGCAAGTCCCAAACTCAGACTGCGGTTGGGTATGTGGGAGTCCAGCACCTCAACCGTCATGCGACATACTATTTTAAGTTAAAGTGTAAAACATTATATATAAGAATAATTGTTAATAAAGGTAGTGGGGAGAGAGGAATAGGGAGGTGTTAGGTGACAAATAGAAAATTAGGTCAGAGGAAAAGTTCTAGTGCTCTACTGCATAATAGAGTTAAGAATTTATTTCACATTTCAGAATGGCTAAAAGAAGGGGTTTTTGAATGTTTCCAATAACAACAAAATACGACTAATGTTTGAGATGATGGATATGCTAATTTGATCACTGCACATTGCACTCATGTACTTAAAAAAATCACACTGTACCCCATAAATATGTACAATTAAGCATGTGTCTTAGAAAAACCAAGAGTTGCCAGACCCTGGGATGAACTTCAACAAGAAAGACTTGAGGCTTTCTTGACTCAGAGATCTTTAAAAACATGTTAGGATTTTCACCTGGCTGGCTGAGGGTCTAGAGAGCACAGGTAGGTCCCGCTTGGCTCTCAGATGCTGCCACTTGGGGAATGTCTACTTTCTGTGGTCATGTTATTCTGCAGAGCAGTGTCCAGTAATTAGCCAGCTCAGGAAAAATATGTATATAGTATGCGTTGGGATTAAAACTTAACTCCGAGGTTCCACACATCTGTGGAAAGCCTCCGTCTTTATCTGCATAAAAGCCTGAGGGAGATGTGAGGACTTTTGTTGGTGTAGCAAGTGTTTTTGACCGGTTGGGGTGGGGGTAGAGATGGAAAAGAGCGGAGATTTAAAAAACCCACATTTCCCTGGGTTTTTAAACCAGAGAGCAAGGCTTCGGATGAAAAGTGTCCCGGCGTGGACGCTGTCCCCTTCTACAGCTGAGGTCTGTCCCCGCTGTAGGCTGCCTGTGAAGAAGCATGGCGCTTCTTCTGTGTTCAACATTATTTAGAGTGCAAGGGCGAGGAGTGGGTGGAAAGGGGATTTCAGGATTTGGGGGGGGGGGTTGTTTGTTTATTTACCTATTTTACCTGCAGAACTACCTCACTGTGGAAAACCAACCCGTTTCCATGATCATAGGGACCCCATCCCTACCCCGGAAAACCAGGCGTCTTTCATGGTCCGCTGCCAAAGGGCCTGCGTTGGCCGGTCGGAGGGGAGGTGTGGAAGTGTTCTGCGACTTCGGTGGCAGGAGCAGGGGAGGGCCCCACGGTGATGCTGACCCCTCTGTGGTTGCCCAGCGACTGCGGGAAGTTCGGAACCGAGCTGCGCCGCGTCCCCCGGCGCCGGGCAAGGTGAGCCAGCTTCCCGGAGTCGGCTGCCGCCAGCGCGCCCCAGCAGGGCGGGCAAACGGACGCGAGGGTCGCGGACCTCGCCTCTAGGTGGGTGAGTCAGGGCGGGACCCTCCACTCGCTCTTTGCTCCTCCCACGTCCCTGAACCAGAGACCGCTCCGGGATCTTTGCAAAGGTCGAGGGGCAGCGGCCGGTTTCGCCACGGAGGTTACCGGCCCCCTTCGCCCGGAGGACCAGTGGCCGGCTGGGGGCGGCCGAGGAGCGCCCCGCCCTGTCCCGGGCCCAGACGCCTCTGCCGGGACCGAGACGCACACGCTCCTTAATCCCCCGCCCCCGTTGCCCGGGCGACGGCCCAGACGAGCAGGTGATGCATTGACAGCGAGCAGATGGTCCCCCGCGGAGGCGAGCGCGGCCCACAATGCGCCCCGCTGCAGTGATCCCACTGCCGCCTTCGCCGCCCGGCCGGCCCCTGTGCCGCCCGCATGCTAATACGGGGACAGGGGGAGGAGTGGGGAGGGGCCTCAGGGCGGGGCCGCGGGGGGCACGCCCCGCCTTGCTCTTTGCAACCCGCTCACCTCTTTTTCTGAATACCCGCCCCAAATCCCCGCACTGGACGAGTTCCTCTCTTTAAACAAGCCGATGGACACTCTCTCCCTCCCCCTTCTCCCCATCCCCTTCCAGCCTTCCAGCTCTTACCTAATTCTCCCCAAGTGGTTAATTTCCATTGAGATAAACGCTTAACCCCTCCTTTCGCGCTCTTACCCCTATTCTGCAGCTCTGCCCACATCTGCTGCCTGTTGGTATTTAATATTCAATCTTGAAAGACCAGAGGAATGGATTTACCACCACACCGCCTGCCCCACGCACACTCCGTTCCTTCTAGAGCTGGCATTGACACTTGCTACATATGAGTAGACATATTATTTAACTCAAACCCTCCAGCCCGCATTCAGGATCTTTTAGGCAGCTTCATTGGGCCTCCCTTTCTGGAATTTCAAAAATAAATCACTCTTCCCTAGTGACTTCAGTGCTGCCTCCTCCAGGGGAACCCTCCCATTCACGTACCGCCTCCTCCCATTCATTTGACACCCCCCTCCCCTCTTACCCTATTCACTGCTGTGTGGCAAATTGAGGGGCTCTTAGAGTAAGGGCATGAAAACTGTTAGGCACTATTCAAAATTTAATACTAACTTCATAGCTGTCACATAAATTCATTGCCAGGCTCACTATAGAATGACCAAGAAGGAACTTTAAGGGAAGGGGGGGGGGAAAGCCTGAAGACACTGCCATGGTGTCTTTCTTTGATTCGCAGGTGTTTTTTGAAACCATTACTACAGTAACTGAAGATAGCTTTTTCTAGCTGCCACATAGAGTGCTTTAAAAAAAAAATCCTCCTCCTTTTTATTTTACAGTAGATAAAAAAAAAATGCAATAAAGGCTTTTAAAAAAGGAATGGAGAGAGAAAGAGAAAAAGGGACTGGTGAATAAAGTTGAGACAATACAGGGTCACAGAACTGTCGAAACTAATGTTATAGCGGGGCTGTTGGGCAGGCATACAGAAAACTTCTTGTTTCTTGATTTTTATGGAGATTTGGTCTAAGGCATGGAGCACTCTCTGAACAGGTTTAGAACAAGTGGCAAAGAAAGAACTCTCCACAATAAACTCCCTCTGATGGGCTTTATGGCCACAAACACCTGTGATTTACAAAGAGGCAGTGCAGGGGACAAAGGGAGGCGAGAGGGCCAGGCTATTGTGGGGAGATGATGCTTCATGTACCCATGGCCATAAGAGAGGGTTGTTTTATTTTAAAACTTGTCTTAGATCCTTGCTATGCAAAGTTACAATGAGAAAAGAAGCATTAGACCCTTTGAGGGGTTCATAATGACTTTTTCAAATGCTTCAAACCCACTTTAAGCCTTCATTTAGGTACATCCTTAAACTAGTGAACATTATACTCACCAGAATTCAAGGAAAGTAGACTTACATAAATTTTGGAGGTAGAGAAGTTAGAAATCACTATCTAAGGCTTAAAAATAAATGGTGAAAATGTTTGCTTTAGGGGTAGAAAATATTCACATTTAGTCTAAAGCTTTGCGAACTTATTATTTTTTTCTCCATGAAAGCTAAAATGTTTATGCCTATTTTTCTTGACTTTTCTCCTTTTTTATTATCTTTCAAAGCTTTTTTCCTTCTGTTTTTTTGATTCTTACTTTTTCTCTGTCCTTTGTAGTTTCTTTACCAATAATTTAGGGAGAGAGCCAAAATATTATATTTGAAAACATAAGGCAGTTAAATAGATCATTGGAAATTGGGGAAGAGTCCTTTTGGTCTGGGTGACCAAGAAATCTTCTCAGAGGAGGGTACATTTCACCTGGGACCTACAGTGAAAGAAAAGACCCATCCAGAAGAGATTCTCAGGCAGAAAAGAGGGCAAAGAATTCTGAGTCACCAAGGAAGGTTGCCGTGGCCGGAACGCTGTGAGTGAGGAGAATACTGTGAGATGCGGTTGGAGAGATTGGTGAAGGCTAGGTCTATGTGAGGCAGGGAAGAAGACTGTATTTTAATTACTTAATTAATTAATTGTCAGTGCATGTGTTCACCAGAGAGCGTGAGATGGAGAGACATAGAGAGAGGGACAAGGAGAAAGCTTTCCCTCTCACCATCCTCCCTCCACATGGGGTATGGTCATGCTGCAGTCCCTTCTCCATTTCCCCATCCTGTAAGGATTTAGGGCACATACGCACACACATTCAGTGTATATTTCAAGCCATCAGGGCTGAGATTTGAACTGTGGTTGGCTAAGTGGAATCCAGCGTCCTTAACCACTAGACCACAGGGTCAGTCCAAGTTTTATTTTATTCTTGGTTTAATAAGAAACTGCCTGAGAGGTTTTGAATAAGGGATCTACATGACAAAAGTTATAGTTTAAGATCATTACTGCTACTGCAGTATTACTGAGTGATTGAAAGATTAGAAGTACAATGATCAACTAAGAGGTTGTAAGAATCAATTTATGAGCATTATTAAGACAGACCAAATGCCTCTCTGAGTAAAGGGCTCTCTGATAAAGATGAATTGGGGAGCAAGACTTGAGTTTTAAGCCAGAATTCAATTCCCACTTTCTCCATTGTGAATGGACTGAAGATAACTCATAAGTCACAATGGAGAAACTGGGATAGGTAGAACAGTCAGGCCTATTTGTTAAGGTCTTAAGGTCAGCATGTCATGTAGAAACCAGGAGTCTGAGTCCTGCTGGATCCAGTCAGAAGGAGGCAAAAGATGAAGTAAGATAACAGAAGTAAGATAACAACAGAGTGGGAAATAGACTACATCTAAACAACATAGAAGTTAAGAAATTGTAATACAGGGACCAGCACATGGCATAACAGTTATGTCACTGGACTCCCACATGGCTGATTGGTCCTTGAGTCCAGGACTCAGTGGCTTGAAACTCATGCAGGGCACATGTGCACGCATGCCCAAAATCTCAAGAAGAGAGTAGAGGAAAAGGGATTGTGGCATGGCCATTCTCCCTGGGTGGAGGAAGAGTGATTTCTCACTTTCTGTCTCTCTTGTCTCTTTGATGAGTGCACGTGCCCTATAGCAAAGATCTCTCTTAAAAAAAAGAAATTGTAATACAAACTCAAAGGCATTAGAAATGACTGGTAATGAAAACACTCTATTTCAAAACATCTGAAAGTCCACTGAAGTGTGTTATTAGTGCAATTATTTAATATTATTGAGAAAGACTAAACATCAGTGAGTTAAGAACACACATAAAAGAAAAATAAATGAATGGGAAAATAAACATACAAAAAAGGATAAACAAAGGTAGATGCTATTAAAAACTAATTAAGTAGACAAGCTCTGGCAAGATTTTTTTTAAAAAAAGGGAAATATAAATAATATTAAGAATTAAAACAGGTACTCAATAGAACAGAATGCATTACACTGAGTAGATTAAAAATACGAATGGATATATACACTTTAATGTAAAAAATTTAGAAATCTAGAAAATAAAAGAATAATTTCTCAAAAAACAGTTTACTAAAACTCCATTAAAAATAGAAAACACAAATAAACCTGTAACTGTAAAATAAATAAAATCAATAGTTTAAAATTTTCCCACAAAGAAAGCATCATAAAAAGATAGTTTTACCAATACAGTTATTCAAATATTTAAGGGAGAAGTAGTTTAAATCCTACACAAGCTCTATTGGTAATTAGAAAAAGAAGTTATTTCTCAAGTCCTTTTATAAGGCGTGCATAACCTTGATACCAAAATAAGGGAAGGATATTATAAAGGAGGAAAAGCCAATTTTACTAATAATCCTTGAAGGAAAAAAAGCAAAACCAAACTAAACAAGTACTAACAAACACAATCCAACACCATACTAAAAGGAGTGGCCAAGTCGTGTAAATCTTATGACTATCTGGTTATTTATTTATTTATTTTTTTTTGAGAGGTTTTTGCTATAGGGTGCATGTGCTCACCAGAAGGACAGAGAGAGACAGAGAGACAGAAAGCAAGAAATCACCCCCCAGGAGGATGACCACACCACAATCCCCTGGGCACTCACGCACATGTGCCCTACGTGAGTCTAAGCCACTGGGTCCGGGACTTGAACTGCCGTTGACCACATGGGAGTCCAGCAACATAGCCATTACACAAACTGCTGGTCCCTTTCTGGTTATTTTATTTTATTTATTCATTTATTTAGTGAAAGGTTTTTGCTATAGGGTGTGTGCACTAGCCAGACAGAGAGAGACAGAGAGATAGAAAGTGAGAAATCACCCCCCCCCCCCAGAGGGGATGGCCATGCTGCAATCCCTTCTCCTCTGTTCTCCTCTCGGGATCTTGGGCATGCACGCACACGCGCCTGGTGGGAGTTTAAGCCACCGGGTCCGGGACTCGAACCGTGGTCGGCTATGTGGGAGTCCAGAGACATAGCCATTACGCTAACTGCTGGTGCCCCTATCTGGTTATTTTTTTAAAAAAAGTTTAGTTTGCTATAGGGCAGATGTGCTTGCAGGGAGTGACATAGAGAGAGGGATAGAGGGAGATAATGTGAGAAGTCACTCCCCAAAGGGGATGGCCACTCTGCAGTCCATTCTCTCCCATTCTCATCTTGGGACCCTGGGCACGTATGCATATGTGCCTAGTGTGATTTTTAAGTCACCAGGTCTGTGACTTGAACTGTGCAGTTGGCCATGTGAGATTCAGCCACCTTAACCTTTATGTCATTTACTGGCCCAATGCCTGCTTAATTTAATAATGATTTGATTAATATAATTGCATTTGTATTTACTTGTTTGTTTTGATTTCCTAGAGGATGCACACACTTACTGGAGGGAGAGAGACAGAAAGAAAGAGAAAAGGAAAGTAAGGAAGTACCCCTCACGGAGCATGGTCAGCCATAATCCCTTCTCCTCCATTTTTCCCTCCTTTTGGGACTTTGGGCATGCATGCACTTGAGCCCGACATGTTTTCCAAGCTGACAGGTCTGGGACTCACACTGTGTGGTCAGCCATGTGGGATCAAGCCACCTGACAGGAAAAATAAGGTAATATTAATATACACAGAGAAGACGTTCAGTAGAATTCACCATTTGTCCCTAACTTAAAAAACAGAACCTATACTGGGGTCAGCTGGTGGCACAGTTCTTAAGGCACTGGACTCCCACATGGCTGACAGCAGTTTGAGTCCTGAACCTGGTGGCTTGTAAATCATGCCTGGCGTTTGTGTGGGCATGCCCAAAATCCCAGGAAGGGAATGAAGAAGGGATTGCAGCATAGCTATCCCTCCTGGGGTTGATTTCTCACTTTCCCTCTCACTGTCTCTCTCCAGCTAGAGAGACGTGCATGTACTCTATGGCAAAAACCTTAAAAAAAACAAAACAAAAAAACAGAAACTTTACAAACTAAGAATAGAAACTGAATTGTTTAACTTGATAGAGTAATCTGTAAGAGAGCTAAAAAATAATACAGCAAACATCATACTTGATGGGGAAATTCATGAATTCCTGTTACCATTGAGAACAACCAAGCATATCAACTTTTGTGAAGGCTGAAGCGTGTACTGTTTTGGAGGCTGCTTCCATGAGTGTCAGCCCCTAATGATCTGTTCTTATCTCCCCGTCTAACTTTTTTTTTTTTTTGAGAGTTTTTTGTATAGGGGGCGTGCGCTCGCCAGACAGAGACATAGAGACAGAAAGCGAGAAATCACCCCCCGGGGGGATGTCCACGCCGCAATCCCTTCTCCTCCATTCTCCTCTCGGGATCTTGGGCATGCACGCACACGCACCTGGCGTGAGTTTAAGCCACCAAGTCCGGGACTCGAACCGCGGTCTACTACATGGGAGTCTAGAGACATAGCCATTACGCTAACTGCTGGTCCCGCTAGCTTGCTGTTTTTAAACAATGTATAAAGTTGTATTTCTATATCCTGGGATGGTCATAAAATATAATTTAAAAGACACTTTTTATGATGTAAGAAAACAAAAGCCAAGGCTGGCCTCATGGTTGCAAGGGATAAGTATGGTTTCTTGGGAACTGGATTGCACATAGTGGACCAAGGTTCAAATCCTGACCCTGGTGGCTTGCAAAACTCTTTGGGATGTGTGTGTGTGTGTGTGTGTGTGTGTGTGTCCATGTCTAAAATCTTGAGAGGATGCAGAACTAGAAGAAAAAGGATTGCGACATGACCGTGTCACCATTGGAGGAGTTTTCTCTCCTTCTAGCAAGCATGTGTGCCCTCTTGCACATAGTGGACCAAGGTTCAAATCCTGACCCTGGTGGCTTGCAAAACTCTTTGGGATGTGTGTGTGTGTGTGTGTGTGTGTGTGTGTCCATGTCTAAAATCTTGAGAGGATGCAGAACTAGAAGAAAAAGGATTGCGACATGACCGTGTCACCATTGGAGGAGTTTTCTCTCCTTCTAGCAAGCATGTGTGCTCTCTAGCAATTCAAAAAAAAAAAAAGAAAGAAAGAAAGAAAGAAAAGAAAATCCAACAGTATCTAGGGTTACATCTTACAATAGATGGTTAAGAACTTGCAAAAAGTATAAAATTTTATTGAAAACCACTGGAAAGAAATAATATTTTCATGGTTAGGATGCTTTACTGGCTTAGAGATGTTGATTCCCCACATTGTATATTATTATCAACCTGTTTTTCTTTCTTCATTTTTTATAGGGATTTGAACTAATCGGATTCATGTCTTCAGGACACAGTGTGAAGCAATGGCAAAAGATGCATTTCTGCTGACTTAAAATCAGACTTTTTGCAAACAGAATGCAGGTAATATATGAGAGATAATCTATCTACCTTCTTACATCATTTTTATTAGGTCAGTAGATGTACTCTATTTCGGCCACTGTATTTTAAAGTTTATTTACTCCTTCTGAGAAAGAAAGATAGATAAGGAGATAGAGGGAGAATGCCCATTAGGATTTTGACCCAGGTTCCATTCCCAGCCTCAGCCAGTTTCACCACGCATGCCTGGTGTACTCAGGGAGGTCTTGAGACATGAATCTGGAACCTTCCCATGTGGGTCAGTCTCCCAAAGCATTGTGATTTCCTGCTGTACCTTCTTCCAGTCCCCATCGTGGACTAATTTTGATCCTTGATTCAGCGCTGGTGGCCTCATATTTTAGAGTAGCCTCTAAGTTTATTTATCCACATCATCATAAATTGTAACATATTGGGTTGTTGGAAAAGTCATGCTGCATTATTGCATTAAAAAACCAGAAAATACAGCATGACTTTTCCAACGACCCAATAATTTTACATGCTTTCATAAAATAAACTTTTGCCACCTTAGGGACACATCGCATTTCTGCTAGGAAAACCTGGAGGCACAGTATGTGTCTCCTCTGTCATGCTTTCTTTCCTGTATTAATGAAAGTGACCTCATGTCGTCGTTGGTGGTGAGAGGGGGTAGTGGGTGTGCTCACTTTAAAGCAGTTGGTGTTTTCCATGAGAAGTTGTATAAATCCAGGTTTGCAACAGAAGGCAGAAAGAAATGTTTTGTTGACATGTAAAGAAAGAAAGAATGCTGTGGTAATATTAAGAATGGTTCTGAGTGGGGCGGGCAGGTGATTAAGGTGTTGGACTCGCACACGGCCAAGCGCAGTTTGACTCCTGGACCTGGTGGCTTGTTTTCTGACTTTCCCTCTTTCTCACTCTCTGTCTATCTCTGCTCAAATTTAAAAGTAATAAATAAATAAATAAATAATTCTTAAAAAAAAAAAAAAAGAATGGTGTGGAGTAGTTTTCTATGGCAAAGATAGTGACTTTAGAACACCACCAAGTTCTTATTTTATTGTTATGTAGATCCGAAGCCTGGCATGGATCTCCCTTCAGTTAAAATCTAGTGTCAGCAGTGCAGTGCTTTATTTCTTTCTGGAGACTTTAGGGGAGAGTCAATTTCTTTGTCTTTTCTAGTTCTGGAGCGTGTTCATATTCCTTGGATCCTGTTGCTCTTAAAATATCTTTGAAGCCAGCAACAGAAAGTTGGATCCTCCGCACATGGCAACACTCTGAGCTCCTCTGAGGACCGTGGAGATCTTTCTGGGCTCAGCCTTGGATCATCCGGGATAATCTCTTCACCTCAAGACCCTTACTTTGGTCACATCTGCAAAACTCCTTTTGTCATATCCACAGGTTCCAGGTGTTAGGTCATGGACAGCATGGGAATGGGGTGAGGGAGGAAACTAATATAATTTTCTCTCCCAAACCCTGGCGTCTCCACTCTGGCCACATAGCCACAGTGCAGATTTAGTTAGTGCTCACTTACCTTCCCTTGGTGTGGAGTGTTTTTCTCCAGGGATTCTCAAGCTCACTTCTTTACTTTGTTTGGATCTCTGCCCAGAGGGTCTCCATGACTGCTCTATCTAAAACCCATCTGGTGTTTTCTGATCTCTACCATACTTTGTTTTCCTTCATAGCTCTTCTTGACCCTCCCTGGCTCTCTTTCTGAAAAGTAAGCTCCCTGAGGGCAGGAGATCAGTCCACTTTGCTTCCCTGAGTCACCCAGGATCTAGAATTAGGGAGCTCAATTAAAGGAATGAGTCAATGTCTTAATTTCATCCCTATACTGTCTCTAGTATTTTCTTTGATAATATCTCCAGTATCCACCATTGACCTTCCTATTATTCCTTTCCACTTATTATTTAATCTTCTCACCCCATGAGGTCATCAAGTACATATTTACTATTTTGTCTACCCAAGAAAGTATTCCTTCCACTCAACACTTTTTCTAGATGCAAGTAAATAGAGGAATTTTCTCCTTTCTGATGCCACTGAATGGTTTTGGGAATAGGGCAAGTATAATATCTGAGAATTTTGGCTAGCAAAATTGCCATGTGACTCAGTCTAAACCAATCAGGGTCCTTGTAGTGGGAGTGCAGTGGTGGACATATAACCCAAATTCAACTAATCAAAATTCTTCTTTTCAAGTTTTGGGGTCAAGTTGAGAAGAGAGGATTCCTTTTTCTCTTAGGTCAAAGACTATAAGGATATGGGCCTGCCTGCCTGTGGTCTGTGGAGAAGTTAACAGTTGGAGAAAATGGAACAGGGACTGGAATCAAAGGTCCTGACTTATATTGTGTATAGTCCCATTTTCTCCAATTTATAGATGAAGAAACATGTCTCAGAGCAGTTAAATGCTTGCCAGCGATACATGGTTCTTAGAAAGTAAATGGGGGAATATGGGCCCCCGTAAGCTTTATGTTAATATCCATATTTCTTTCATTTTGCTCTACCATGTCCTGGCCTCTGAGATTTATAAACATCTACTTTTCCCATTTGGATTGATTTCTGAAAACATCCAGCAGGGGAACACATGCTCTGTATTGCTAGCAGGATGTGTCTCAGACAGTTGTTGCCCATCTATGCATCTTGTGTTCTAATGAATGTGTTCACTTGAAGCTCCAGGGCTGGACTGACAAACAGGCTCTATCTTTTATGCTAATTCCTGCGGAATAGATGTGATCGTCTAGAGACTTGTGTTAGGAAGGCTACAGAGGTTTCACCTGGATTATCAGAAAAGAAAAAAAAAAGTGGAGTCAGGAAACAAGCTATTAAATTTGCTCAAAATGTTTGATAATTTGGATCGCATTTTGGAACTGTGGAGTTAATACATGTTAGCATTCGGAGAGTATTGAATCAGGAACTCTTGCTTTCCAGTTCAAAGAATATTTCATGCTTTAGTCAAGGGTTCATCTGTGTACCAAACCAGATCCCTCAATGGTCTGTTCATTCCAGGATGATGGCATCTTCTAAGGAACACCTTCCTCTACAAAATGCCCAGACAGTTCTACCCCACAACGATAGAAACAGTGACATGACCTGAATTTAGATTCCGGAACTGGATGTCATTTATTGGGACCATTCTTTTCTGGTGAGCGGGAGGCTAAATCACTGCCACCCTGAAAAAAATTGTCATGCAATGGTATTGTTGAACATTCTTGACAATCGGATTGGGCCTCACATTTTGTTGGTTGGAAGTTCCATTTCTTCATCTTTGGCCCAAGTTACTTAGCAATGACCAATCCAACTATGCACCCACCATATTGTTTTACATGTTTGACTAGAACATTGACAGATTAATAGGAAGGGTAAATAGCAGAGCCCAACTGCAGGGGCCCAGTGTGGGGCAGCAAGATTGACTGCTCTGGACTTTGTTGTGTTTGCTTAGAGGAAGCCGCAGCAAAAGCCTGCTGGGACGAGGTGACCCAGGTCATGGGCATTTGTTTCTTGTCTCTATAGAAAACAATTGTCTTCTCAATGGAAGATAGCTTTTTCTGAATCTACATGGTTCCACTGACAAGGAAGCATTTGCCATTCCAGGGTGCTTGCTAAACACACACATACAAATAAAAAGGCCACACAAAAGTTCAGATTTACTGTATTTCAGAGACTCCTGAGACTTAGCTTAACCAAGAAAGACGTCTAAAGTTTATACTGTGAATCTCTAAACCTTTACTATTCATCGCTAACTCCCGATAGTTGATGTTTAGAATATTATAAGTTTCAAAATGATCCAGCCACCTCCTCTTCTTCTGATTCATGAGGACAGGACCCTCTACTATTTAGAACTGTTGACTTTGTAAACTCTGGTTTTGATAGAAATTTATTTTAATCTCAAAATTGCTCTACTTTGAACTGATATAAATAAAATACTTAATAATGAAGGAAGATCTACTTTGGGTAATGTTATCAAAAGTGGTGGTTTCATTTAAAAGACAGAACTGTCTTTCTGGTTATAGACTTTGGTAAACATGGCTGCTCTTACATTTATAAAGTTATCATAGTTGTTTAGAAAAACTTGAATTAGAATTACTTCTTTAAAAAAAAGACTCCAAAGGGTTTCACACTGATTTTTGATTAAACAGTCTCCCTCTCTCTCTTTCTCTATGTAGATAGATGATAGATGGATAAATAGTTACTTTTTGTTTTCTAAATCAGTCAGACACTCTTCACAGTATGGTGGCAAAGAGGAGGGGACAGAGAGGCAGTCTACAATTTTTCATTTGGGTAGCTTTATTATGTCTGAATGGGTGCTGTTTTCCAATGTCTTTCTCACCTTCACTTCCTTTTCTCTCTTCCCCACACTTTTACTTATGTTCTTCTTGTGCTCCCATCTTTGTAGAGCTCAGGGCTTAAGAAATGCATGTAAGTGTTATTTGTGATGGGGGAACCATTTTGATTTCCTGTTGCCTACTTCAGGTTCTCATTGAGCTTGTTGCTCTTAAACTGAAAACCGTCATGGGGGTTACCCCAGATGGAGATACAACAGCCCTCCCCAAAGCATCTGAGGAATAAAACTTCTCAGTGACATTAAAAGCTAAGATCAATCTGAGTATTAAAAAAACCCAAGGCGCCTGCACTGAGATGATAATGTAACCCTTTGATTTAATTCAAATCAATACAATATTTATTGTGCACCTACTCTGTGCTATGCTGAGGATAGTTCCTGCCCTCAAGAAACTGATAGCCTTGGGTCTCGGCATGGGGAAAGGTAATAGTCCAAAGAATTATAATATGGTGTGGTCATGCCATGGCAGGGTGAGTTCAGAGGCTGTGGACATATACAGAGGAGGCACCGATTCTATTTTTTTTTTTTTTTGTTGTTGTTGTTATATTTTTGCTATCAAACATGTGTACTTACATGCTTGGTAGCAAAAGAGAGATACAGGCAAAGCAACAAAAATTGCACAGACTGAAATTTCTCTTGGGATCTTGGATATGTATGTACACATACCCAGTGTGAGGTTTAAGCCACCAGATCCAGGACT